CGGAGACGGAGGGAGACGGGAGATGGCGAGTTGGCAGATCGGACCGAAGATCTGAATGGGGGATTGATATGGATTGATGGGGTGTCAGTGAGCGCACTCCCTTTGTTCGAAGGCGTCAGATGGCTTCAATGAGGCTATAGTTGGAAGACCGGGATTTTCTGTTGACGCTTGGGGGGAAGAACAAGCTGGACGTGTTGGTGTGTATGTCGACCTTTGTTATGTTTGTTGTTTCTTATTATAGTTGATATTAGGCTTACAGGCTTTTCGAGCGGTACAAGACTTCGTCGGACATGTGGAGCTCATTGAACGCGCGGAATTAGAGGCTCTGGTTTCTGGCTTTGTGGTGTAGGCGCCGATACAATCGTCCAAAACAGCGATGAACCCGCACCATACAGCTTCAGAAAGGCAAACCCAAAGGCACAAGCATTTTGGACAGCCAGTGGTGCAAACATTTGGCGTGAGTTTTTGGATGAACACTACGCACCTTCTGGCTGCCATGTAACTGATTTGTTTTTTGTTTGGTACCTTGTGAGGGATCCTCCATGCGTTGGAGCATTCGACATCGGAGGACTTCAGCAATGCCAAGAACGTGTCCTTCGAAATGCCCAACGTGCCAGTGGTGATGGGCGCAGGCGAAATCGGGGCAAAATCGAGGCGATGGTTGGCGTGCGAAGGGAATTCACCCCCCCCGAAGGGCCCAAGGGCCTTCCAAAAGAATATTGACCCGAAACATGCCCAAACATTTTTTTGGGGTGTTGCACTTTCGTCCGTTTGGCTATCACACCAAGGTTCCACACCACCTTCTTGTTTGCTTTGTCAGGTAGTCGTTGCTGTGAACAGGTCTTGGTTGAACGGATTTCGCGGGCGGTTACCAGATCTGCTCCCCAGCCGGGCACCTCGGAGGTGTCCCCTGATCGGTCGCGAGGGCGTGTTTTGGTGACGTATTGGGGAACCCCGGACAGATCCAGAGGATTCCAGAGGTCTAGAGGACTTGAGGTTCAAGATGCGATCCAAAACGATCCTACGAAGCCCCGAAGGATCCAAACGTCGCAGCCAGAGAGATCCAGACCGGTCTGGAGGTCTAGATCTGGAGATCCCCTATAGAGCTCCTGTGATTCGGTCTTCACATCCAAAGATGTGAAGCCTCTAAGTTGATGGAGATCTAGAGTTTGAGGTCTAAGAGATCTAGAGGTCCAGAGATGTAGAGAGAGAGAGAGAGATCTGGGTGTCTAGGTCTCTAGCTCTAGGCCGGGAGGCTCTAGGTCTCTAAAGATCCAGAGTCGAGATCCCAAAACAGTGTCCGGAGGTCTAAGGTCTTGATAATCTAGAGGTGTAGATTCGGTGTAGATGATCTAGATGTTCTGGCACTCCAGAGAGAAGAGATGGTGCTGATGGTTGTGGTGATAAAGGCTATCCGAACATATCCAAAGGAATCTAGATCTAAAGGTCTTGAGATCCAAGAACACTACATCTAGAGGCCTGGAAAACTAAGGTCTAGAGATCAAAAGATCTAGCTGCACACTATACAATACAATAAGGCATTACTACCTCAAAATCACGAAAGGTAGCCCTTTAGGGGATACCTTGAGTTTGTCTTGCGAAGCAAGTGTTGGGACGTCCGGGTCTAATAATTGATCGCTCAATTCAGACCCCCCCCCC